CCATATTTGTGCACTTCAGCTGGCTGTGCCACATGCCCGTGGAAAAAAAATAATCAAGCTACATATTTAAGTGCCTAAATATGGATTCAAATACCTGGTTTAGCACCCACGCTTGAAAATACTGGCTTAGTGACTTTCCCAAAACCACAAAAGGAAGCCTATGTCAGAGCCTGGATTTAATCTGTTGAATTTCTACTTCCCAAGCCTGTGTTCAGACCACAGAACTGACAGGGAAAAAAGCTTTCTGTTCTCACAAACAAGGGCGTAGCTAGCAATGAAATTTCCGTGGATACTGGGTAAGCTTTTGTTCCACCATACGCTACCTACAGTATCCTCATAGCCTCCTGGACTAAGCCTATAAAATGATTGCTAAATTACTAGGTACAGTTAGATAGAGAGATCTAGAAATAGAAAGGGTCTTTAAAAGTTTCCAAATCGTTATATACACTGGCCTCAAAGTTAAATGAACTATTATGGTTATTTGCTTGCCTTCAACCATGTTTCACACTTGGAAACATCATGCTGTAACCTAAGGGAAATCACCGTTTACTCCAACTCCCTGTGAGATAAAGCAATTCTTTCCAACTTTCTCCCTACTCTCTTAGTATCTTTCATAATAAACAAGCTTGAAAAAAAATCATTTTAAAAATATTATTTCAATTAATTTTTTTATGGTCTTAAATTTTTACTGTTGCAGGAAATTATGTGAGGGTCAGTTAATTATTTGATGACAGGAGATGTTGAGATTCAAAGAGCTAAAGCTTTATAACTGTTACAACACAAACTGTCTACATCACATATCAAAATATACAAAATAAATATCCTTAACTCTAATAAATTCTCAGGCAGCATTTTTCTTACTTTACCAATCTGTAAATTTCTATCATCATCGGTGGAAGTACTTTTCCCATCAGTTTGTGTGTGTACAAACTCAAAGTTTATCAACATTTACAGATAAAAAACTAATCCTTCCAAGTTTATTAATAAAGGTTATGGATGACTGTTGATAAGGCTACTTTATAATTTCTCTCACGGTTTGTATGATTTGTATAGTATATGCTTAAAAGAAAGCTCAGGACTTTCCCCCCTTACATTTAAATGTCAATCTTTAAGTTTATCACATTATTCTCCTCACATAAACCAAGGCCCACTCACATAAAGGAGAAAAGATTTAAGAATACCATTCACCACAAAGCTATAAAAATAACTGCTACAGGAATGAGCAGGCAGGGGGAAGACTGAATAGAAATGAGGAATGCAAGATGAAATATGGATTTTTTTTTTTTAAACACAAGCAACTCAGACTGAGAGAGAACTAATCACATAAATAAGTCACAGTTTAAACCAGCTAAGAAAGCAGGACTGAGTCACAAGAAGCTAGATTCAAATATATATGAAGTGGAACTCACACTGTTACTCTGCTCTCCAGGTATAAACCTTCCACTATTGCACAGATAAGCAACACACTTACAGCGTCTTCAGTTACAGTAAAATGGAAAACTGCATCTCAGTAATAACTAATGACGGAATTGGTTAGAGAGGCAATAAAATGACTCCATACAATTGAAACTCTAGGGGGTGGGGGGAGAATTTAACTAGGATTTGGTAATAATGGAGAATTTCACCCATCACACATGGTAGGAGTGCTGGTTCCCCAACATGCCTCCTAAAATTCAAAGGCAAGGAAATATGTATCTTTCATATTATATTACAGGCTAAGAAGGAGCTAGATAGTCTTGTGTGGATTTTAATTGGATTTTCCTGCATATATTACTCCTAGTGGAACAAGAATACTGTTTTTATATAGTGTCTGATTCTAGATGTACATAGGAATATCGCTGTATCCCTATGTCCTCATTTAATTTTATACGTAAATCCTTCTGACAGAATTAAAAATACCCTTTTATGTCCGTTTTTAAATATAAACTATTTGCAGATGAAAGACTAAACACTAAATATGGTATATTCCTCAGAATGGCCCAAACTCAAAAAAGTCTAATGAGTCAGCCGAAGGAAGGAACCTGACAAAATGCAACGTGTGGGGAAAATGTAGCATAAGAGGGGAAAACAAAAAATCCCAGAGTTGGAAGAAAGGGACTCTGATTTGATGCTTCATTCAATTTTTCACTTAAGAGCAATCTGCTTTCCTCATAAACTAAAAAATAAAAATGTAGTATTTGATAATATAGTGGATAAAAAGATTTTTTTGAAGTGCGATGATTTTGAAATTTCTGTGTAAAATTCATCCATTTTTGATCAGCTATAGAGCAGGTCGAAAAATCTTAAATTTAGAAAAATGTTGATGGGGGTGGGGCAGAGAGAGAACAAGTTTTTCTTGAAAATTTTCATGAAAAGAATTTCCCCTGCTCTTTTTTTTCCCTAAACCAGCTCTGTTTGATAACAATTTAACTAAATCTTGACAAAACTCAAAAAACAGACTAGCAAAAACAGTTTAGGAGCTGCTGTTACAAAGTGGGGGGAAAGTTTTGATTCAGTTCAGATTAATTTTTTCAAAGCAACTTGTAGCCCAGTAATTGCTTTACTTGTATTATCATAGTGCTTAGGACCCCTAGTCATGGACCAGGCCCTATTGTGCTAGGTGCTATATAAACACAAACCAAAAAGATGGTCTCTTCCCCAAGGAGCTTACAATCTACACTGTATTCTAACATTTTAACCTGCTGCATATAAATGTGCAAGAAAGGCCACCCAATGTGCCATCACTCTGGTTAGCTGAAGCAAACTAGTATTCCTTAAAGTTTGGTAGATGACAACCTCTCCTCTCTTACTCCTATCCCGCAGAAATAGGGATTTTCACTTCATTCTCGGATCTTCCTTTTGCCAGAGACAGAAGTTTCTTAAAGAAAAAGATGAAGGATGCCAACAGGCAACACTGTAAATAGATACAGTAACTTAGATAAACACTTTATTTTAGTTAAGTTGGCACATTCACGCAGCCTCACTAGTTTATTGTTGCCAACCTCCCGACATTTTAGTAGTTTCATCAGTGGATAATCGATTGGGCTGGAGTAAACTTTAATCACTAGCTATACAGGAACAGTCAGAACAAAACAAAAACTTTTAAACTAAGATTCTCTTCCCTAGATGTACTGTGCAACCATCATGGTTTATTAATTATCTTGACTTTAAAAGCAGACCAGCTACCACGAGATGTAATATTTTCCAGGAGGTTGGTCATAGATATAAAGGATATACTAAGAGGTATCAAGATAGAACCTACAAACATTATCTTATGAAACTGTAAATGTAACATAACTCCATGAAGACCACATTCACTCCTTATTTCTGCTGTTTGTGATTGTACCACCAAAGGTAAAGGCCAATGGCAGTACAATTTATTACTGATTATCAGTAAGGAGAAGAGTTCAGCATTCTCTGTATCACTGCTACTCTTTTCTTGACAACCACACCCCAATTTATGCATAATGCCCACCATCTAGGCCAGGGGCGGCCAACCTGTGGCTCCGGAGCCGCATGCGGCTCTTCAGAAGTTAATATGCGGCTCCTTGCATAGGTGCTGACTCCGGGGCTGGAGCTACAGGTGCCAACTTTCCACGGCTCAACCCCAAGCCCTGCCCCCACTCCATCCCTTACCCCTAGGCCCCCGCCCCTTCCTGCCCCCTCCCCTGAGCCTGCTGCACCCTTGCTCCTCCCCCCTCCATCCCAGAGCTTCCTGTATACTGCAAAACAGCTGATCGCAGTGGGCAGGAGGCATGGGGAGGGAGCGGGAGGTGCTGATCAGCAGGACTGCAGGCGGGCAGGAAGCGCTGAAGGTGGCAGCGGGGGGTGTTGGTGATGTATTACTGTGGCTCTTTAGCCATGTACATTAGTAAATTCTGGCTCCTTTTCAGGCTCAGGTTGGCTACCCCTGATCTAGGCCCATCCAAACTAAAGTTAGTGGTTTCTTCCTAGAGTGGGCCAACTAGAGTAAGTTAATCTGAGGCAACTGTTCCCTGCCATCCCCATATAACTCCTGCAGTACTTGATCAATATTGCATTTTAAGCTTATCATGATGTCTTCCCTCTGGGTAGCTCCAGGGCCCCCAGCATTTGTGAAATGTGGACCCCGCCCGCAATCTACCAGCAGCCAGAGGACAGAAGTCTGAATCTGTGACTAACTTTACTTTTTTTTTTTTAAAACACGAAAGAGATACACAGTCGATGTGTTTGTACTTGCATTTTGCATTATGAGAAATTAAAATAGCTTGCTGTTAAGAGTTCACCATCAGAAACTACAACCAAAAAACCCTGACAAACATGATATTTCTGAATTGTGTCCTCACTCTGCAGTTACACAGAGAAGTTGATCACTAGCTTTATTTTAGTATTGTGGGAAACGCACTGTAGCTAGTACTTTTGCCACAATTTTGACATCTTCAATAAGCAGAACAAATCCAACAGAGTGTAAGATACTTATCTATGCACTCCTCCTTTTTGGGAAGAAGGGAAACAACCTGGGCTTCACACAGAAGCAGCAAGTTCAACAGGTTTCACCACAGCCTGGTGCACAGGACACCAGATGAAGTCTAAAACAGGCTTTATAAAATTAACTTGGGTTACCAACTACTTGCATGCTTCTCTCCTCACCCCAAACCACTTACATCTGTCATAGAAACATATTTTAAATAGGACCCACCTCTTTACCTGTGAGGTAGGTAATTCATAATTATTTAATCCTTTCGTTTCTTTTCTTCACTAAACAGGGAAATTTGATTTTCTGTCCAGATTTGATTAGTAATTTTCTAAACTATGAAAATCTGATTGCATAACAACAGTTTTACACTTACATTTGAAAATTAAGTATTAGCTAACGAAGCACCTGATCCTGCTTCTATTTAAGTCAACGAAAACATACTTAGTCTAATTTTTATTTATTCTATGGGTCACTTTACACTGCTTACCTTAATATATCAATTCTCAAATGGAGCAGGATCAACTCCAAGGGAAACTGACATTAAATAAAAAAGTAGCAAACTTACCTTGGTTTCCCAAGAGAAAGGGGCCGAGTGTTCATCTTGCCAAGTTATGTCCTGAAATGAAATTCAAGAATCTCTCTAAAAATCAAAAAAGCATTCTTATTTAATAAAAATATCAAAGAGGTACACTTATATTGCATCACTTGAAGTGTAACAAAATAGTAAAATAGTAACAAAATTAAATTAGAACCAGCCAAAGAATGAGAGAGAGAGAGACAAACAGTAGCACTCACTGAGTGAATGAAAGCTCTCTTTTAGAGTGTAAATTCTTAGGGACAAGGACTGTCATTTATTCTATTTTTGTACACTGCCCAGCAACATGGGGGTATTAACCTGGTCTAGACCTCTACATGCCATTGCTATACAAAGAAGAATATTAAAAATGTACTGTATGTCTGATCTTCACCAATTACGTTATTTGAGACACAATAACCAAATATTTATATCTACTTTAATGATGATCAAACCGAGATCAATATCCTATGCAGTGTAAGGAACCACATTATGTCAAAAGTTAAATGGCGATTATATTCTGAAAAATTATACCAAAAACTGCAAGGGGAGTTCCACAGTTATTGCTACTTAGGAACTCCATTTTTAATTTGCTCAGTTTAGAAATAAAAATGTTTTTTCAACTGTAAGTCCTGCAGACTCAACCTGGGGTCTGACAGTCAAACTAGGCTCTTTCCGGCTCACATTCCATGAACAAGAACAAATATTTTCCATTTGGAAGTTAGTTATCAATTCTGACTAGGGTGACCAAACAGCAAATGTGAAAAATCGGGACGGGGGTTGGGGGGGGGGGGGAGGGGAGTAATAGGAGCCTATATAAGAAAAAGACCCAAAAATAGGAACTGTCCCTATAAAATCGGAACATCTGGTCACCCTAATTCTGATGTTGATGCAGCAGAATCTGTCTTCCTTTCCTATACTTGTGCTGGCTCTTCAGTGCTAACAGGAATATTTATATATATGTAGTCAAGTATCAAGAGGGGTAGCCGTGTTAGTCTGGATCTATAAAAGCGGCAAAGAGTCCTGTGGCTCCTTATAGACTAACAGACGTACTGGAGCATAAGCTTTCGTGGGTGAATACTCTTTGCCACTATATATATTGACAGATTTATATTTATTTAAAGAAAGCTGAGATCACTCAAAACACAGGTTTCAGAGTAACAGCCATGTTAGTCTGTATTCGCAAAAAGAAAAGGAGTACTTGTGGCACCTTAGAGACTAACCAATTTATTTGAGCATAAGCTTTCGTGAGCTACATGAAACACTCTCCAGAGTAACGTGCCATTTTTAAACAATTACTGTTTTGAGTATAACTCCACTTTAATAGGGTTGCTACCTGCGTAATCTACATTTGTACATGCAATTGCTAGCATACCTGGCACAAACATGTACCACACACCAAAACAGGAGGTGCAAAATGAGAAAGTATGTTTTTCCTATACCATAAACAAAATATTTTCCAAATTTGTTCATTCATTTTGATGTTTTGGAAAATAAACAATATTTACAAATAATGAATTAATGACAAATAAGGCTTATGTTGGGCATATGTGGTGCTAGCAACTGATCAGTCCCATTTTATATTAAATACATTAAAGTGAATGGCTTTTGTAGTAGACAAATAATGCTCCTCACATTTTGTACTTTTTAAGTCTGGGAAACTCTCCTGTTTGGCAGATACTTTTATGCTATAAACTCACCGCACTATGTTCTTCTCATAATCCCCTTTTCACCCCACCCTAGGCCAACATAATTTTTGGCCAAGAGCCACAACAGAGGTTTAAAATGAAGAAAGCTTAGAAGCTAACTGGTAAACTCAAAGCTCTGTGACAATCTCAGAACTGAAACTATTTTTCTGAAATATGTCCTCAGCCCCCAAGCTACTTACTATACTGGAAATACACCAGTTAAGTAACCTTGTCTTTCCTATATGATCACTACATTCTTGTATGCCTGTCACCGGTAAGGGAAAAGGAAAGGGGAATAAAATTATGCTCATAATAGTGCTTTAAAGAATATTAAAGGAGAACAAAAGCTTCAAGGTTATTCATCATCAACATCAATTAGCATCGATCCACATTTGATCAACTTGTGTTTTCAACAGGTAACAAATGGAGCTCTCTCCCAAAAAGAGGTAAATAGCCTTTTGTTCCTCCTACTAGATAACTGATGTAAGAGATGAATACTCTGGCTTGTGGAAATTCTCAGCCCAAGACAAAAAATATTAAAAATAAACAAGAACTCAGTCACATAGTTGTCTTCAGCAGCCAGCTGCAAAATATCAAAGACAAAAGAGAAGCATGCAACAAAGTTGCTACATTCAGGCAGCTTGTTGCAAAATGGCATCTGCTGTTCAAAATGGAAGACATACTAGTATCTTTCTTCTGTGCTCCTTGTTCTCTGTACATGATATAAACATTGTTCAGAGCATCTGATAGCAACTGTTCAGTCACAAACCCACAACAAAAGGGCTCCTGTGCTGGTAACTGAATATCTTACTGCAGCAAAAATGAACAGCAACATTACATCTTTTATAAGTATTATTGAGGGGAAAGGGTTGGAGTCAGGGGGAGGGGGTTAACTCTGGTGAAAATCTGCAGTGCATTTTCAGTGCTCCTGATAACAGAAATCTATAGCAGTTCAACTTAAAAAGCTTTTAAAGCAGAAAATGTTTATTACAATAGTTACTTGTAAGTGAAAAAGAAAAGGATCAGGTGTTCAATTGCTTCACATCACCAAGCTGAAGCGGATACAAAACAGAAAATATTGCAGGCATCTTTGGAAAAATTAGACTTGCATGTTAAATGCTCATCATATCACCAAGCCAACTGGACATCTCAGCTGTTCCCCTTAACCCAAATTTAACATTTTCCAAGTTACATGATGATGATATATCTGAAACATACGTTTGGTTATTATGAGTCCAATCCAGCAACGTGCTCAGCTCCCAGGAGCTGCCCAACCCCTTTTAAAATCATGTCTTATGTGAGTCACGTTTTTGTTAGCTTTAAAAAAAAAAAAAAGTTAAGTTTTCACCTAAAACATAATAATAAAAGGCCTGAACCAACTCCCATTGAAGTAAATGGAAAGACTCCACTAATGTCACAGGAGTCGGAACAGGCCCTAAACATTTGACAGAGTGCAAGATGACTCTAGCAGAAATCAAGACTTCCCTAAAGGATGCTAGTACCACCACACACTGCCGTTCCTGAAAACCAGCTCTCCTTTAATTTGATCTAAATTCATTCCAAAATAACCAATGCAAGATGCATTACTTTCAATTCCAAATTACTTTCTCTTTGGTGATATATTGTACAATGTGAGCTAGTTTAACATATCCTTCTATAGTGATTTCCATTTGAAGAGCACAAAGGTGTTATCCACGTTAAAGCTTCTGTGAAAATTCTAAGTGATTTGGAAATCTAACTCCACTGATAGGCTCTTTTGAAAATCCCAGACTAATGAATTAAGCTTCACTTAATTCAGTCTTAGAGGTATTATTTATTCCCATTTTACAGATGGAGATACTGAACCACAAAGAATACAAGTGACATTCTCAGGGGAAGTCAATTATTTTTCGTTAAGGTCCAAATTTCTTGGTCAAGGTATACTCAAGGTCCAGACTCCAGAGCAAAATAATAAAAAACAACGACACTAAGTAAACAACAAGATTTCAGGGTCTGTTCAAAGGTGTCTGACAGTATGGATTTAGCCCGCAGTCCACCTATTGATGATCGCTGTTCTACATCATACAGCAACTTTATGGTAATGCAGGGAATAGAAATCAGAGATTCTAACTCCCAATTTGTGCAACAAAAACAGTCTTTGTTTCCTTCACTTTTTGGTTTATCCCCAACCTTCCCTAAAATCCTGGAGTAACCCTTTGAAATGTTTTATTCTTGTAATGTCAATTGCATCCCAAAATGCTACAGAATTTCCAGTTCCAGATTCAAAAGCTCATTTTATTTGCATAAAACAAAGGGTCATATAGAGCCACTGTGCATTTGTAAAGGAAAAATATGTTTGATTTGTTTTATATGAGGCAGGAGTGAATGGTAGGCAAAAGGAACTGGAATGATGAAGACTAGATTCTTCATACACAATGCCTCCTTTTAGGGACAATTTGCTTTTTTAAACAAAAACCTACTGCAATATATTAGCCCTGTTTAAATAGAAAGTTTCCATAATTGGAGAAACACTTCTGCAGTTCAATTGAGATTTAATGCTAATGATTTAACTCTTGGGCAAGTTTCAGAATGAATGTAAACACTGAAAATCTTTGAGGCCACTATAAATCTCTAAAGAATTCCTCACCCGTAGAATTGCACAATGTCTTTTTGCAGGACTACTATGAAAACAGCTAAAGTAATTGTTTTGTGTTTCATTTAAAATTAAAACTTCAAATGAAATGCTAGAGAGGAAAATTTCACTATCCTATTATTTTCCTACAGACAAGGGATAGCGTGGGTAGATAGGTAGAGATGGAACCCTGGTACTAGAGCTAAAAGGGAGACAGTGAATTTAGACGTGGTAAGAAGGATGGGGTTTGTTTTTTTCCAGTTACCTAGACAGCATAATTTTCACATAAGTACACTATTAAAATCTTCCGCACCAAGACGAAATTATTGCATTAAATCTTCCTATCTACTGTGGAAGAAACAGAACTGAATGCTGCACTCATTAAAACAATAGCCCTGTTTCATTTTTCTTTTCTTTAAAAGAGGCTTATTAGAAAAATTCTGCTATGCAAATTCACACTGTTCATTCTCTCTGCACTCCATGACAGTTTTCAAGCGTTCGCAGATGCATGCTAGCTGGCAAATGGAAGGGAAAAATCCCTTCATTTTGTGCCTGTTGGGAGTGAGAGAGACGAAGGGAAAGAGAGGTGCCAGGTGTGGAGCATCTTAGGGATCTGTTGTGCTGTCAATGCGGAGTTGCAGTAGTACAGCTGAGCAAGTGTCAGGTCAAGAGATAACATGAAAGCCCAGTAGGTGAGGCTTTCACAGACCTAGAAAGTTGAACTGCAACAGCAACAGACTGTCCCAAGCAGAACAAAGTGGCTCTGTGGTAACAGGAGAAGAAAGAGAAATTAGGGAGCCATGGAAGATGTCCAGGACTCAGCTTTGGCACCAGAAAGGGAGGCTGAGAGAGAGAGAGCCAAGGAACGATGAGCCAGGAAAGGCCCCTAAGGCTTGGTAGTGCAGTTGGAAGACTAAAATGGAACAGGAGAATGCCAGAAGAGAGCACGACCTCTTTTTCAGGAAGATAGTTTATATAAACCTTGGCTGGAAAGTGAAAAAGGAAGTCAGTTGATGCATATGCTTTATAACCTAAATTTAACTCTCTATACCAAGTCATTTGATTAACTGCATTTATCCTCAGTTAAAGAATACACAAGGGATAAAAACAGTACCATTCCTATTTGTTGCTTTTTTTGCCAAATGAGGGAACGAATTTGCCAAACCTCAGAGGCATTTTGCCTGTCACTTTGTGAAGTGGGAAAAGATTTTGTCCATATGCTGCAACAGAACAACCCCTGGCACTTTTCTTCTGGCCCCAAAACAATTCAAAACAGCAAGCCCTCACAATCTCAAAACAGTGAAAGTAAAACATGTAGTCTAAGAATGGGGAAGACTAAAATGCCCAAGATAAACAGTTTTCAATTTCAATCATCTCCACCGCCCCCCAAAAACTGATGGTCTGTTTACTGACACAGCAGATGCAGAATGAGGGTCTTCTATAATACAGCCAGCTCTGAAACACTATGGTGATTATCTAAGTCTGCAAGCAGTGCTTACAAATCCTATGTATGGATATTAGTAGGGGTTAACACAAGCCCTAGCCACTTCAAATTAAATTGGTGGTTACAAGTTCAGAAGCAGATTAATTTGTCATGTGTCTAGAGAACCAAAAACAATAATTTGACAGTAGTTTGCCTTAAGAATTTAAATCATGATAACAAATTATATTGATGTTGTGCATTGTGTGTGCTTTCATAGCCTGAGACTTTTTTAAAAAATTGTATGGCTGTGGTTTTTTGCATTCATTTAAAAACTAAATAGAGTAGACCCTCATAAGCAAGGAGAGATAAAGAATGTAGTCAAATAAAGGAGAGCTTCAGAGGTTTACACATATTTGTTTACGGGACTTTAATTTGAAAGGCACATACTCCATACTCTACTATCCAAGTACCTATGATTCTCTCCAAACACATTTTAGTGTTAAAGTCAAGAACATCAAAAGCTTCAATACCTATATTTTCAACTGTCTAACTTTCCACATCCTTGTCTTTTCCTGGCACCGTATTAGGTGTGGAAAAGACTGAACAAGAATTTTTAAAAAGGTATCTAAAAAAAGGACCAGAACTGGGGAATATTTTCAATATTGTTCTTATGAGCAGAAAAAGGAAAAGATTTGATGCAATGTAAACACTGCCTCAATTCTACTTTTAGTGATTATTTCTCCACTACCATTCAATTATTTTAAAAATTAGTGTCCACAAAATCCTCTTTGTAATCCACGCTACTTGCAAAGATGAACTTTTCCACTTTTCCAGTTATTACTAATTGCGGTCACATATTTTGTCATTCATTCACAAACTGACATTCCTCCATACTGCATCTACACTAGGAAACTGGGATCCATAACTCACCACCAGCGCAGCTCCGCTGATGGTAGCCATTGTGTTGACAAGGATCAGGAATTTGTCACGACTATGTTGGCTAACCCTATTCAGTGCAGTGTTGCAGAACACATTGGTAAGAACACCTGTGCCCTGGCTAGTTCCACAACTTCTACCATTGCTGCCACCAGCGGAGAGTCACAGGTCTCCATTCTCTTAGAGCAGACAAGGCCAAAGGTCCCCGAAGTATAGGGAGAGCACTCATAACTGCATTTAGCACAGTCTTCAGCTTTGGCAACAGCATGAAGTGTTGAAAGACCATCTCACAACTATGCTGAAAATTGACAACACCACAGCTTTGGCCACTACCTGCTGACATTGCTTTATTAATAATCTCCACAAGGCTCCCTCCCCCTAGAGCCCCCTTTCCACAACCCCCATAGCTTCCAATGTCCCCAACCTTGTCTCCCACTGTACCTCCCAATACCTGCACACCATCCTTCCCCCCCCAATGCCCTCACTCTTTGCCCCCATTCCCCCGACACCACTGTTCTGTTCTACCCTACCGCACCTCACCACACTCTCTGCCCTCCATACCACCATTCTCCCCGTAATGCCCCTGCTCCTCATTCTTTGCCCCATTCTCTCAATGCCCCCACCCTGCCCTTCCTCCCCCCAAGCCCCCCACCCTGCCCCTCACCCTTCGCCCCAGGCCCCCCACCCTGCCCCTCTCCCCCCAGCCACCGCCCCCCACCCTTCACCCCTATGCCTCCCATGCCCTGCCCCTCACCCTTCACCCCCAGCCCCCCACCCCCCCTCTCCCCCCAGCCACCGCCCCCCACCCTTCACCCCCAGGCCCCCCACCCTGCCCCTCTCCCCCCCAGCCACCACCCCCACCCTTCACCCCCATGCCCCCCACCCTGCCCCTCTCCCCCCAGCCACCGCCCCCACTCCTCCCCCGCAGGCTGCCATCCCGCCCGCAGGCTCTCCCCGGGCCGACGCCGTTACCTCGTCCCCGAAGCGCACCACCTTCTGGCCGGTGTTGAGGCGCAGGCCGGGGTAGCAGGCGGGGGGCGCGGCGCGGGCGGCCCCGCGATGCGCCGCGTAGCGGGCCTGGATGTGCGGCTCCACCAGGCACTTGTCGATGATCTCGTCCTGCTGGCGGGGCGGCAGCCGCTCCCAGTCGGGCCCGTAGCGCTCGCGGATCCGCTCCTTCTCCGCCATGATCTTGCGCGCCATCGGGCTCAGCGAGGAGAAGTAGCTGAAGCGCTTGCGCTCCCGCTCGTCCAGCGGCCGGTTCCCGTTCAGCACCGCGGTGCGGGAGGCGGCGATCGCCGCAGCCATGGAGGCCATCGTGCCCCTGCCCCGCACACGACGCTGAGACCGGAGCGACGCCGGGAAGAACCGCCTCCTCCGGCCCCAGCAGCGCCCTCCTCCTGCTCAACACCCTCTGCTGCCCTTTCCCCCCTGCTTCGTCCCGCACTCCTCCCTCAACACTCCCCCTTTCCCCGCACCCCCCCCTCTCCGGACACTCCCCCTTTCTCTCACCCCTCCTTTCTCCTCCCTTCACTCACCTCCTAGCTGCTGGTGCTGCCGCCGCCAAGGCAAAGTGGTTTGTGTCGGCATGACAAGCCCTGCAAAAATAAAACGCAGAAATCTCTGGTCTCATCCCTCTGGCAGAGCATGGTTGCATCGAGCCCTACCCCAGGGCTTCCCAGCCTGTTTGGGTGTGAGCCCCTATTCATCTTTGCCATCATTGCCCTTGTGTTGGTTCAGTGGCAGGTCTCTTTCCTTTCTTTTATGCAGTTTTTCACTCATAAATTGTTACTAGTAAATGTGACCATTTCTGATCATCTGGGGAAATGTTTCTTGCACGTCCTTTGAATTTTGGAGTATACACTGTCTTTCTTTTTTGACTTCTCTGTCACACTGGTCACCCCCCACCCTTACAATTTACCCTCATATTTATGGTCTCTACTTCTCTATTTAGTGGGACTTTACATTAGTTTTCCACATTTCATTTTGGCAGCGTGTTCAGGGGGTTATGTGGCTAGCTAGCTTCTTTATCTCATCCACAGTGACTTGTTTGGCGTGGTTTTAGTCAGGCACTTCTGAGCATGTCTCGTATGTACTGCTGGCTTGGTGATTTTCCTGATTCTTTCTATTTCAGTATTTTATTCAGTGTAATAAACATATTGGAGGAAACCCCATGACTCATAGAGGAGGTATCATCCTGAATCAGATAGTCTTGCTGCTGCTGCTTTTTCCACAGTAATTATTAATAATACCCAGTGCTTTCCAAAGGAGGTAATTACTGATGGGGAAATTGAGGCATGGGGCAATTTCTTGCCTAAGGTCACCCAGCAGGTCAGTGACAGAGCAAGAAATAGAATCTACATTTTCTGACTCCTAATCAATTTACCCTTCTCACTTTGTCCCCCCAACAGTAGAGATATTTAGCAAGCTCTTACTAGCTGAATTATGCTGTGTGGAGTTGGTTCCCTCAACATATTAAAACAGGCTCAGTAGTAGTGGTTGGATTTTTTTTTAAGATAAGTGGAAGTTCAGGAGCTTGACTGTAACTGGGCAGCCTGTTAGAATAATTACATTTTATTGCATAAATATATAGAAGTATTGGGTAGTATTTCTATTAAGGTGAAAGTACCCAGAGCAATGAATAAACGATTGATTTTTCTATAAACAAATACAATAAATAAAACTTTTGCTCTGGTTGGTGTGGTACAGGAGGAATGTTTCCAATAGCACAAAGTCCTAAGGGTTAAAAGAAGTGCAGAAGAAGAATTCTATTTCATCAAAAAGAAGAGAAGTACGAGGTGCCAGGATAGAAGCACAGATGACTAGAGCTCTATCTGCTATAGGTACTGATTGCAAGGTAAACACATGAATTCTAACCAGTATCCATATGGGTTCATGCCTATGGTTGAAGATTACAGGCTGAGGAGTCTCTGATGCTGCCTGGGTGTGGGCTGTCATATCCAAATGTACCCATCTCAGAGCTGAAAAGGGTATTGCCGCAAAACCCACCATGTCTGGACTGATGGGGGAAAAGGATGAAGGTTAACTTCTTACCATACAATAGGCTTCTCCCATTCATCTTCCATTAGCCCACCCATTGTATTTGTTAAACTAGTTTAGAAGCAGCTGACTCAAGCTCACTCTTCAGTAATCCGCCTCTGTATATCACATCCAGAGAAACAAGTTGTCACACACCAACCACACCTGTCTATTCATTTTCAATTAATATTTTTCTTTGAGATGTCTTTATTTTGAAAGAAAGGGTAGGTGCGCATAAACTCAGAAGAGTGGAAGAAAGAATGGTACATAAAAATACCTACAGCAAGGATTTGTTTGTGGAGGAGGCCAGGGAAATGTTCCTGCCCCCTCCCACCTCAAAAAACTTTTTCCTTTGACTTTATTATCATCATAGCACCTAGTAGCCCTTACTAAGGACCAGGATCCCATTATGGTAGGCACTGTACAAACACAGAATAAAAAGACAGACTGTAAGCACTTTGGGGGGCAGGGACTAAGTATCAGACAAGAGACAACTGATGGACACAAAGACAGCCATGTGAATATAAGGAAATGTTAAGACAGTATTGGTCAGCCCACCAGTAACCAAGTTGTCAAGCTTTTTGTAGGCATCACAACAGAGAAGTGTTTTAAAGAGGGATTTGAAGGATATGGACGTCGCTTTGCAGACATTTTATGGGGAGTTCCTCCTAGGCATGAGGGATAGTATAAGAGAAAGCACAAAGGTATCTTCCTAGCCAGCCAGCCCACCCTAGTATGTTTCCCCCTTCTGCCTAAATGATACAATCATAGGAAAACTTAAAATCTGGAAGGAAAGATGTCTTATGGCTATTATAAAGCCCGTCCTGAGATCTGGGTTCTATTCCTGACAACTGCAAAGCTGCTTTACCTCCATTTTTCCACCAGGCTAAAGACAATTACTTTTATCACAGAGATATTCTATTTATTATTGTTTGTAAAAAGTTTGAGATCCTTAGATAGAAGGTACAATAGAAATGGGTAGTACTTATTTATAGGAAGATGTCCAAGCAGGAGGGTGAACAAGATAAGACTCCAAGATCACAATTTGGCTGCAAATTACTGTAACAGTTCCCATCTCTCATTTCTCTTATGGGGAACACCACACTTATTTTAGGCTTTTAAACGTACTCCCTTTTGATCATAAGACTTTGAAGAGAATGATCATTAGCACTAGTTAGAGCCAGACAGTGGAGGAAGGCTGTGTGCAATTTTTCCCATAATACAAGCTTGGCCAATGGACCTAGGGTCTGCACTTTTAACTTCTGCTGCTGTTCCGTCACACGCTTCCCTCTCTTGAGCAAGTAATGCCAATCATCCCAAATGCTGTGACAATTTTGTGAGTTAGACAAATACTCCCTAGTAAATATACCATACACCAAATTTCCATGAGATATTTTTCCATTATTCTAGACTTCCTGGGGGATTCTAGAGTTTAGGGTGCTAAAGTTCAGTACTCTAAAGTCACATTTATTGGTCCCAAAAATTGTTTTATAGAAATAAGCTCCCTCAAGTGAACTCTGCTCTTTCAATATCCAACTCAGAAATGTTCCTGTTGCACATACGCAGGAGTGGGTAGAGAGCATGGCTCTAGGGAAAACTTCCTGTACCCCAACCCCTGCTCATAACTGTCTGCTTTTCTGACCTTTGGGCAAGGTCTGTCCATTTCTGCAGCATCGCAGGAGGAAAAACAAAAATAATTGGGGAAGGGAGGTGAAAGGAATAATCAGTATACTTCCTGCTGAACCACTGTTACTGGTGTAACTCTTGGCTGGGCGAAGTCACAGAACTTTCCAGTCAGACATGACTGACTATTCTTGCAGCCCTGGGTCTGCTTGCATACGAGGTCTTCAAGCACTGTCTGGACCTAGTCACCCAACAGATATTAAACATGTTGTCTGGTGAGTGCATGTACACCAATAATGTACCAAGATTCAAACAGCTTTAAAATCTAATCCTAACTTAAATAAGCTCTTCTCTCCAAAGGACCACTCTTGCTGCACTTGCAGCTCCATTATCATTAAATGGGAGTTACAAATGCACAATGGAAAAAAATATTCTAACAGCACTTGCATTACACAGGGGGGTAGCTAATGTGGAACCAAGTATGATTTGTTTCAGTGATGTATGGGAGGAGTAAGAGATAAGTGGAAGGAGATGGATGTTTTCACTACCCTTCTCATGTAGCTTTGGTGTGCACTATGAACTATAATGTTCAAAGCGAACAGGGGCTCCAACCACATCCATTTTTTGAGGTTACATTGAAGTCTCTCTCCCCCCAAAGAAATGGGCAAGAGATGCTTTTCATACAAGTGAAAGTTTAGGTCTCCAGTTATCAAGTGATGTCCTTTTTTAAGGTGGCTTGAGCCAATGATCCTAGTTAACAACTGAAATGGGGTTGTAAATCCACAAAAATTTTAGTGTAGTCTCTATATCAGTGGTTATCAATCTTTCCAGACTACTGTATCCATTCAGAAATCTAATTTGTCTTGTGTACCCTAAGTTTCACCTCACTTAAACACTACTTGCTTATAAAATCAGACATAAAAATACAAGTAAGTGTCACAGCACACTATTACTGAAAAATTGCTTACTTTCTTATTTTTACCATATAATTATAAAATAAATCAATTGGAATATAAATTACATACATTTATGTACTTACATTTCAGTGTGATTCTTGAGGCTGTTTTTCACTTGTGAACATTGTCTGAAGCCCAAGCCCCACCGCCCAGAGCTGAAGCATGCAACATAGCTTCATAGGGCCCCTTGTGGTGTGGGGTCCTGGGCAATTGCCATGCTTGCCACCCCTAATGCTGGCCCTGTACTTGCGACCCCCCTAAACCCATCCTGTGACCCCCCCCCCGAGGTTGAGAAATCTAGATCTACTGATCTAGATGAGTTGAATACCCCCCTGGAAGACGTCTGGTACCCCCAGGAGTACACATACCCCTGATTGAGAACCTCTACTCTAGATCTGCTGAGGGAGCCCCATAAACTATGTTTTGATTTCTCTCGTTTTCTGTTCTTTGCTATAGTGACTTTTTTAGAAAACTAAACCTTTTGTACACTATCTTTAGGATGTCAAATTAGGAACCCTCCTGTTCAGGTAACTTCAAACTTTGTTGAAAGATTTTGTCACAGCCCCAGATCTAACTTACTGATTTGAAACCAGTGTGACTGGATTTTAGGGACAGGGGAACACTGAGCTTAGAATGGAAACTGAAATGCAACTTTAAGTATGGAGTGATGGCAGTCACTCTGTAATATAGTCTACTGGTGACAGCACAGTATTGTTTTTTAATACTTAACTCCTCTTCGGGGGTGCAATGTTTAAACTCTCCTTCCTATCCTAACTCCACTGCACCACAAATTACATTCTCAGAGGCCCCTCCTTTCAGTCACATAGACATGGGCATTCTTGGTTCTTTGCCACTTTCTTTAGGGGGACATTATTTATTCCTCATGTACATCCTCAAAAATTCAAAAAGCCACCTCTTGTGGCAGTAGGGTGTTAGAGAGGGGAAGCTGGGTGTATCCTGAGTAGCGAGAGTTCATCAGGGAGCTGCAACACCCACTGCCTGGAGGAGGAAGGGTTACGTAAAGACGTGTATCTATTTTCTTCTGGGCAGTGTCTGCTAATCAGGGTGTTAGGGATTGCCTGCCCCCTGCTGCTAAATGATCTCTCTGCACCTGTCACATTCAAGCTCCAAATGGTTGCAGGTATATCATTTTTACATCCCTTGCAAAGAAGTTGCTCCCTCAGATATTTCTCACACTTGCTCTGATTAGGGGACAGCCTTGCAGTGGCCCACATAACCTTGAGCTCTGGAAAATTCAGAGTACATAAAACAAAGGACATAGTTAACGGAGACTAGCAGAGGGAATACTGTGCTCACAAAGTGCTTGTGACAACAAAGAGTGAATTTTGTAGAGTGATATTGTAAAAAAAGACTTCTGAAAGTCATGATCCTAGAAACAGAAGTGGGGTTTTTTTGTTTACTGTTTTTGAGGTGCAGGAGAACATTAAAGACCAAAAAACTAGTCAGATTAAGTAATTGAGAAAATGGACACATTGAGGGAAAAAAACATCTAACCCACCCTAGTCTACTGGAGATTTTGTGGCTGAAACGACCTACTTCACAAAAGCTGCCAAGATCACTCAGGAGACAGAATCTGCATAGGCTACATCGGTCCCCCTGATTCTGAAGATAAGCCACAATTTACTGGGACTCCCTGCAAATGGTGGTGGTCACTTTTGTTGCTGCCTGAAAGAAAATCCACCTCTTTCAATAGAATACAGTTTGTGGTGTCACCCTCACTGCCTGAGTTGAGCCAGGCCAGCCTGATGGGCTACCAACTAGCTCTGAGTTTCCCCAGGATGCTGTCCCTCCCTACCACCATCTGACAAACCAGCCTCAGTACCATTCCAGGTGGCTCTCCCAGTACATTCACAATCTATTGGTGCCCTCCCCATCAAGAAACCCAACAGCAGCATGCCAGCCTCGCTTGCAAGTAACAACGCCCACCAGTATAAGTCTGTCATTTGCTCACCAGAAAAGGCTCATTTTAAGCATATCATTTGTTTATTTTTATTTCCAAAGTTTGTTTTCCTGAAACCAATTTCTTTACAAGTGTTCCTGACATTATTTGTCAAACAGGTATTTGAAACACTTCTTCAGAAGACAACATTATGTAACGTGTGTATTTATGCATTATACACATAGGTATGGTTCATAAAGTTTTCACAGTTAAATTTTTTGTTTTGAAGAACCTGAAGACATATGACTGAAAGACGGAGCAGATATGGGATTTTCAAAGTGCATTAAGGAAAACATTCTTTAAGAACAAAATCCATATCTGCAGCAGGTTCAAAATAGTTCCCATTCAATTATATTATATCACCCTTAGGTTTGGTCACTGAAATAAATTTTCTATTTGGAAAGCAGTGGCATGGAAACATTCATCATATATTTTCAATCAAACAAAGATTTTCCTGTTTGTTTAGAGCCCCTAAGGTAAAGAAAATGGTTCAAGCATTACATTTATCAAAAATTGTATCAAAAGTAACAAAGGACCCAGTTTATTCATAATTTTTCCTTTTCAAAAATAATTTACAAAACAAGAGGTCTTGGCCCTTTATTTGTATAAATTACACAGCAACTATAGTTCTTTTAAGACAACGAGAAGAATCTGCATTTAGCACCTCAATCATTGTTCTTAACGTTGGAAAACTCTCTGATACTGATGGAAGACTCTTGTAAGAAGGAGAAATACTGAAAAAGAGAACAAAATTAAACTGCAATAGAGTTTAAAAATTTACTTCAAGGACAAAGTTTCAGTCTGTACTGATTTAGGGCCCAATCTTGGTCAGGAGTTTGCTGCTCAGATCTTTTGCTCACCATGACTCACACCTCAGCAAGTAGAATGAGCTAATCACAACATAAAGGAGCCGTCTGGGATTGCAATAATTAGGATGAACTATGATTTACTTCTCTAACAACCATTATTCATTTTGTAAAATAACCACTCCAAACTGATATACCATTGCATTACTCTTCATAGTGAAGGTGGTGTCAACACTTGTTTTAATACTTTAATAATACATTAATGAAATGTGTGAGAGATTAAAAATTGCAAAATGAACATTTACAGTTTGCACATGAGTATTAATTTTAATACCATAATATGTATACAAGACGATAAAGTCAGTTTGTGTGGTTTCAATTAAAAAAATACAACAAAATATGGTCTGCTTCAATGTTGCATCAATGCAGTATATTTAATGTATTCCTTTCCTTTATATAGTGTTGTTTATATAAGGAAACTGAAATTGTTTGACTTACAAGTACATTTATTATCTGAAAGTGCAATCAGTCTCAGATTCAAATTAATGTACCTGAATGTTTATGCTTTCCTTCATTTAAATAGAATATAGTTCTTGTGAAAGTTAGCAGGTTGACAAGTGCTATATGGTATTTAGCTGGTGGCAATTTTTTAAAAAAATCTGTATTAATTTACAGTTTAAACAATTTAACAATTCTAATATCCTGCTGATAACCAACGGTGAAATTCACCGCAGTACAGAGGGTCTATGCAAGGCTATATGTACCACATTAACCTTTAGCATAGGCATTAAGTGGATTTTCATTGGTACATATGGCCTTGTCCATGCCCTGTGCACTAGAATGAATTTTATCATGACAGGCTGTAGTACAATAAACTGGCTCAGAGGAAGCATGATCATCTTAACATTTATGGTTTACTAAGGACTATCACAGGTCATATTTGTTTTACATACACGTATACATTTTGTTTAAGTCTGCATATAAGAATTTTGAATTTTTTTTCTTTGACAAGACATTTACCTTTGGAGATTCATCCAGCTTCTGGCTATTTTGCTAAAGGCCTCAGAACCAGGTGCTGTCATGGCTTCAAAATCAACCAACTGAAACAAAACAGATCATCAACAAATAATTACAAAGGAGTAAGAAAGTATGGCATTTTGAAAAGTGCTAACTTATTGTTAGTACATCCATGAGAATGACCAGTGCCTTTCCTAATCTATTAAAAAAGACTAAACCCATGGAATTAGAGACATACCTGTGTTGTCACCAACGTTCTCATCCTTTTGCAGTGGAATCTAGCATATCTTCTGATGTCTTAATCAGAATTAATGGACACAAGTGATTAAATGCCATAACATTATGAAATCAAGGGTGGTTTTAAAACAATAGATTGCATTCCCCATTAATAAATAAAAATTGGAAGGCTGGATGTTTGTTCTGTAGTATTAGTGGATGGCCTACTGAAGAAATTCAGTAATGCCAGAAATCTGGGATAATATTGGGCTTTTCTAGCATTTTGTATCAATCTAATTCTTCCCATTATGTATTTCTGAACGCCAGTTTAGCATTAGTAAGAACTATGATTTAAGGGTGGGTTTTTTCGTAATTTTGACATGTATACTACTAAACATAGCCAAGACATCTGGGCAACATCAGTAAAAGCCAGTCAAAGTGCAACACCCTATTTCAGTGGTGGGCAACCTGCGGGCCGCACACAGCCCATCAGAGTAATCTGCTGGTGGGCCGTGAGACAGTTTGTTTACATTGACTGTCTGCAGGCACGGCCGCCCGCAGCTCCCAGTGGCCACAGTTCACCGTTCCCGGCCAATGGGAGCTGCAGGAAGTGGCGGCCAGCATGTCCCTGTGGCCCACACAGCTTCCCGAAACTCCCATTGGCCGGGAACGGCAAACCGCAGCCACTGGAAGCTGCGGGCGGCTGTGCCTGTGGACTTATATGTAAACAAGTGTCTTGCAGCCGGCCAGCGATTACCCTGATGGGCTGCGTGAGGCCCACGGGCCGCAGGTTGTCCACCACGGCCCTATTTCATCTCATAAAGGTCAATCAAAAAACTATTCAGAAAAATACATTTGGCACTCTGCCCTGAAGCTTACCAAATTCATGCTCCGGCGGATTGCTGGAAAGAACAGGTTAGTAATTGGCCCTCCACTGAGAAAAACTTGCTCCTGGACATGGAAAATTCAAAGTGCAGTTCACTTTGAAGTGACTAGAATTGGCAGTGAGATTCTATTAGAATTCTTTGAGGGTGTCAAGCATGTGGACAAGGGTAATCCAGCTGATACAGTATACTTGGATTTTCAGAAAGCCTTTGACAAGGTCCCTCACCAAAGGCTCTTTAGCAAACTAAGGAGTCAGGGATAAGAGGGAAGGTCCTCTCATGGATAAGTAAAAGATAGGAAACAAAGGGTAGGAATGAATTGTCAGTTTGCACAGTGGAGAGAGGTAAATAGCAAGGTCCCCCAAGACTCTGTACTGGGACCTATGCTGTTCAATATGTTCATAAATGATCTGGAAAAGGAGATGATCAGTGAGGTGGCAAAATCTAAAGACAATACAAAGTGACTCAAGACAGTTAAGTCCAAAGCTGATTGCGAAAGTTACAAAGGGATCTCAGTAAACTGGATGACTGGGCGACAAAATGGCAGATGAAATTCAGCGTTGATAAGTGTAAAGAAATGCACACTTGAAAACCTAATCCCAACTATACATACAAAATGACGGGGTCTAAATTAGCTGTTACTACTCCAGAAAGAGATCTTGGAGTCATTGTGGATAATTTTCTGAAAACATCTGCTCAATGTGAGGCAGCAATCAAAAAAAGCTAACAAAGTTATGAACCATTAGGAAAGCGATAGATAACAGAAAATATCAAAATGCCAATATATAAACCCATGGTATGCCCACACCTTGAATACTGTGTGCAATTCTGGTCACCCACCTGAAAAAGGATATATTAGAATTGGAAAAGGTACAGAGAAGGGATATGGAACAGTTTCCATATGAGGAGAGATTAATAAGACTGGGACCTTTCAGCTTGGAAAAGAGACGGCTAAAAGGGGATATGGCAGGTCTATAAAAACATGAATGGTGTGGAAAAAGTGTTATTTACCCATTCACATAAACACAATACTTAGGGGTCACCCAGTGAAATTAATAGGCAGTAGGTTTAAAACAACATAAGGAAGTACTTCTTCACACAACGCAAAATTAACCCGTGGAACTCACTGCCATGGCACATTATGGCCACAAGTATAATTGGGGGTTCAAAAGACGGTCAAGGATGCAACCCCTTTGTCCAGGTGTCCCTAAACTGTGAACTGCCAAAAGCTGGGATTGGATGAAAAGATATGGATTGCTCAAAATTACCCTGTTCTGTTCACTCCCCCTGAAGCATCTGGCACAGGCCACCATAAAAAGACAGGATACTGGGCTAGATGGACCACTGGTCTGACACAGCATGGCCATTCTTATTTGTTCTCTGCTTATTGTCTTAATTTTCAATATTGAATTAGCTCAATTTTTCTTGCTATCAGTCTTCTAAACTCATCAATAGTGAAGAGAGAAGCTAGGTTCTGTACTTCCTTTTTCATGCTTCATCGCCAGTAAAGGGTATTGCAAGCCAAACTCTTATCGGTTACACCTGCATAATATTTTCTTCAATGTTTTTTTTAACTCATTGGAGCTTAGTCAACAATTCTGTTGGTGAGCCATAAGGAGGAACAGAAACCAGCTCATTCTCCCTTAGCTGAATTGGTTCTGCAGTGCTAACAATAAAAAAAGAGGTTACTCATCTTGTGCAGTAACTGCAGTTTGTTCAAGATGTGTCCTCGTATGGTGCTCAATTTCCATTGCGCATGCACCTCTCGAGTCCTTGATTAGAGATTTGTACACTAGCAGTGCCCTTCAGCCTGCACACATGCCCTATGCCTCCTCATGCTGGACACCGAGGCAACGTAGGGAGAAGTGGACAAACCACCCGCAGTTCCTTCTCCACACAAATGTGTCTACAGAGAACAATCCAAAGCAGAGGTGAAGGAAGGGCTGGTAGCGGAGCATCTATAGAGATCTACATCTCAAAAAACTACAGTTATGGCACAAGGTGAGTAACCTCTTCCTCTCCTTCGAGTAGTGTCTCAGAGTGCTCCACTTCAGGTGACTTCCAGAGGGATGAGCGAGCTTTGGAACTGAGCTCAGAACTGAAGATAGTACTGCAGCAGCCAGAGCTGCATTGGATTTGATGACATGGATTAAAGAGTAGAGCTTCCAAAATGTATGTACTGAAACCCACGCAGCAGCCCTACACATCTCAGACACTGGTATGTTCTTAAGCAAAGCAGTGGATGTTGCTTGTGACCTGGTAGAATGTGCTGTCATCCTTTGAAGAGGATGAAAGCCTGCAGTCTCATAACATGTGATACATCCAGATATCCATCCTGATAGTCTCTGAGCAGAAATCGTGGATCCCTTGGATCTATTTGTGAAGGAGATGAACAGCCTGGGTAACCTTCAAAATTGCTTTATCCTATCCAAGTAGAAGGCCACAGCCATTCTAAGACCCAGGGTATTAAAAGAGGCCCCTGCAGAGAGTTGTGTGGCTTTGGGAAAAAACACTGGTAAAATGAACGGATTGACAAAGAAGGAACCTCCAAGAGAACCTTAGATAAGAATTTAGGATGTATATGTAAAGAAACCTTATCCTTGAAGAATACTGTAAAGGGAGGATCTGCTATCAGCAAGGCACCAATCTCCCCAACTCTACAAGCCATGGCTACTAAACATGATGGCTACTAAAAAGGCCATCTTCATAGATAAATGGAACAGAGAACAGGCTGCCATAGGTTCGAATGGATGTTTCATAAGGTACAATAGAATCTCAGAGTTGTGAACACCAGAGTTTCGAACTGACCAGTCAACCACACACCTCATTTGGAACCAGAAGTATGCAATCAGGCAGCAGCAGAGACCTCCCACCTCCCCCAAAAAGCAAGTACAGTACTGTGTTAAACGTAAACTACTAAAAAAAGGGAAAGTTTAAAAAAAAGATTTGACAAGGTAAGGAAACTGTTTCTGTGCTCGTTTCATTTAAATGAAGATGGTTAAAAGCAGCATTTTTCTTCTGCATAGTAAAGTTTCAAAGCTGTATTAAGTAAATGTTCAGTTGTAAATTTTTGAAAGAACAACCATAATGTTTTGTTCAGAGTTACAAACATTTCAGAGTTACGAACAACCTCCATTCCTGAGGTTTTCGTAAGTCTGAGGTTCTACTGTAATTGAGTACCAGATTGAGGTCCCAGGCACTGCTAGTGGAAAAATTTCAGATCAAAGCCTCGAGAGGTGCATGTTCACCTGGAGTGTGGCCCCTAAGAGATACTCCTCAAAGAAACAGCTTATTTTTGTCAGTAAAGTCAGCAGCTATGACTAACTAAACAAAAGGAACATATCTGATGAGTGAGGTGGTATCATTTTTACATAGTCACTTTTCAGACCAGAACTTCACTTTAAACTCCAGAACCAACAGCAAAGGTAATTCAGCAGTTCATATATAACTCCTGTGGCAGAAGATGGGATGAGATGCTCTTTCATATAAATGTGTTTCAGATCATTTAGAACTCTGTAAATTGCAACCACATTGAACTTCATCTGCAAGCAAAGAGAAAACACTACTATTGCGTGCCCATAAGAGCCCACTGCACTCCAGAGATAAAATTTGCATTCTGCTCAAGCCGAATCTTCAGAGACTTCTTCAAGGGGAACCACAAGTAGGAGGTCACCACTGGGATCTGGCCTCAAAGTTATAAAGGCATGGATTACTGTGGGAAGGTCCACATCAGAGGGGAACAGCTGCAGCCTCAGGGCTAACCATAGATGCTGAAATATACTTTATATCACAGTTGTCATCTGAGAATCCACAAAAACACAAAAAGCAATGAATCCTAAAAAAACACTGTAAAATTGTAAGCCACCATGGTAAAGCATGGACAAACACCTGATACACACACCAAGTCCTTGCTTATTCCTTCTGCTGCTTCTCCATACTTAGAACTATCACTTCTGTTATCTACGTTGAGCCAGTGTATTTTTATGTAGAACTTGCCTTTCCTTTTGGTATTTTTCCTGCTACTTCTTTCCCACTTGCCATCAGTGCTCCCATGATCACCGAATAAGCTATCACGCTAAAAAATAAAGAGCAACAAGTCTCTTTCCGTAATATTTTTCAGTTGGAATTATTTTACATTACACAAATTCAACTTCTTACTTGTTAGTTAAAAATTAAAAAAGCACTTCAAGGTATTTTTTTTTTAATTAGAGATAAAAACGGACATCTGACACCTTAGTAAAAATCAGGGATTCAGGTACTGAGGAGCTGTAGTTCTATAGCCTTATTGATGGACTGGTTACTGACTGATTAATTAGTTAATATTGATTAATCACAGTGGTCAATAAAGGTTTGGCCTCCTGAGGGCTACAGCATCAGGAATGTTATCAGTATCATTAGAATAAGAGACCCTAGAAACACATGAGAAACTGCAGTTTATCACAAGTCCCTTTATTAACAAATCCACTAAGCAGATAAACAATCCCACATTCACTAAAATAGAATAGCAGATGGACAGATAATGCACAAAATCAGTCACTAACCTGGATCCTCTTGAGAGTGGCATTAAGTTATAGAAGTAATAAACTAAAGACAGGATTAGGTTGCACACAGCATCTGCCTCCTAGGTAAAAAAAATGCAAGCAGGGGCTCAAAAAATACTTTAGTGTACAGATATGAGATGAAGAAACATATAAGAATGTTAGTGTACTTTGTAATACCCTCCATTAAGTAATTATACAATATACTCAACAATACGGTGGGTTGTTTTTTTGTTTTTTTTTTTAAGAAAAATATTTCATAAGTTTCAATAAAATTGAACCATCCCTATCGTGAACATTGGAAGATCAAGTAACTCAAAAAGGTCAAGCTAAGGAACTAGCTTGAACAACAAACTAGCATTGTATTTCATCCAGCATTAAGGCATTATGCTATGTTAAAGATCCTGATAAATCTAAAGCACAGCGAGCTTCTCAGGTAGAATGCAATCAACTTGAAAACAATTCTATTGTTTTATCATGTATTTATGTCAATTCTCATTTTACAACTAGCTGTCAAGAACCAGTCTATGAACAACATTAAATAGTGCTCATCATGGTAATAATATGCTGTGGTTGCAAGCCAGGATAAAAAAAATAATGGCATTTTTATTATGGAACATTTCATGCTGTGTGTTTGGAATTAAACTATTACTTAGCAAAGCAGAGCAACTTAATAGGTTTCCATTGTTTAAGGGTAATCTTTCACTTAATTTCTTCTTACTAGTAGCATTTCAATAAGAGGTGAATTTTATTACTTATTTAGGAACTGTGCCAAACAATCTGAATGCACAGTAAACTGGAATGTATTTTGACAAAAATAAAAAATGATAGTATAGATATTAAAAATTAATTATATAGAGGATTCATGGATTACACAGCTTGAAGAGACCACTGTTATCATCCAGTCTGACTTCCAGCATAATACAGGCCACAGAACTTCCCTAATTAATTCCTGTTTGAACCAGAGAATATCTTTTAGAAAAAAAACATCCAATCTTGATTTTAAAATCGCCAGTGATGGAAAATCCATCACAACCCTTGGTAAGATTCCAATGGTTAATTACCCTCACTGTTAAAAATTTGCCCCTTAAATCAGGTCAAAATTCATGCTAGCTTCAATCAAATTAATTGCTTCCATAAAAACCTTACCCCAAGTTCTGCAGATAGAATTAGTACTTTTCCTTTGGCTGTTAGATCCTTATATAGTGCATCTATTTCTGCATGATACAATTGTGTTCTTTCTTCCGTTGTCTGAGTTTCCACTGAAAATAATATGTTCCCAACTCTAATACAAAAGATTATTTGAATAAATGTCAAGACGCTAATCAAATACTTAAAAGAGGTGCAAAAATGCAAGATAGTTAAGGCTAATATTTCTTCCTTCTGCCAAAACCTTCTCCCATATCACCTACTTAAAGCAAGAAAACAAATCTGCTGCCCACTCAAATGAGAAGCACTGAGGTTGAAATAGAAACATCAGAGAATATATTTTAATATTCTTACTGACAAAGTGGTAGGTGCTATCTGCAATTTTTAATTGCAAATAACTGCTAATATTTTGATGGACGGAAGTCTAGAGGCTTTGGGGATTTTTTTAGACAGAGCATTAAAGTTTTATTTTTACATTTACACCCTTCCTGCACCAATGTTTGCAGACAGGGTGGAAACCAGCCTCTTCCATTAACCACCATTATTTGCTGCTCCTTCCATTTGCTCTGTGGTATTGAGATAGACTAGCCTGCCCTCCCTGCTAGGGGCTCTTTTTAAGGTTTCTCTTGGGTGCACGCATTTCCTCATACCAGTTGGTTTCCACTTAACAGCTTCATGGCGGAGCGTGTGTGCTGGCACCACAAGTAGATGCCCCAAATATGTCTAACGCTTTCTGGTTCTGGTAGCAATGAGCTGCTGGTTGGTGATTTCTCAGGTCTCTTCGTTGGTGACTAAGTCTTTCCAACCAATTCCCAGAGTCTTTTGTTGGCATTTATTTTAAAATGTGTCTAGATTTCTGTTTGATATGTTAGTAGATCTCCAGCTCTCACAGCTGTATGATAGCAATGAGATTAGGTTTGAATTGAAAATTCTTAGTTTTGTTTAGGTGCCGTATATCTTTGATTTCCATATGCTGTTGAGTTTAGTAAATGCAATGGATGCCTTTCCTATCCCTAATCTCACTTCCTTCTTGAGGTCTCTGTTGGCTAATATGGTGCAGCACAGGTATATGAACTGTTCTACTCTCAATATTTTTGTCTTCAAATGGGATGTTACTGCTTAATGTCTGAGTTTCAAGGATGTTTGTTTTACCATAACTAAATTTGAGCCCTACTCAGCCTACTATTTTTGCCAAGTTGTCTGTCTTTGTAACTTTTCAGAGGTGTTACTCAGAAAAAAAAAATTTATCCACACAATATGAAAACAAGAAATTTAAAATGATCTGGAGAAAGGGGTAAACAGTGAGGCGGCAAAATTTGCAGATCATACAAAACTACTCAAGATAGTTAAGTCCCAGGCAGACTGCGAAGAGCTACAAAAGGATCTCTCAAAACTGGGTGACTGGGCAAAAAAATGGCAGATGAAATTCAATGTTGATAAAAGCAAAGTAATGCACATTGGAAAACATAATCCCAACTGTATATATAGAATGATGGGGTCTAAATTAGCTGTTACCACTCAAGAAAGAAATCTTGGAGTCATTGTGGATAGTTCTCTGAAAACATCCACTCAATGTGCACCAGCAGACAAAAAAGTGAACAGAATGTTTGAAATCATTAAGAAAGGTATAGATAATAAGACAGAAAATATCATATTACCTCTATATACATCCATGGTACGCCCACAGCTTGAATACTGTGTGCAGATGTAGTCATCCCATCTCAAAAAAGATATATTGGACTTCGAAAAGGTTCAGAAAAGGGCAACAAAAATGATTACGGGTATGGAACGACTGCCTTACGAGGAGAGATTAATAAGACTGGGACTTTTCAGCTTGGAAAAGAGACAACTAAGGGGGGAATATAATAGAGGTCTATAAAATCATAACTGATGTGGAGAAGGTAAATAAGGAAGTATTATTCACTCCTTCTCCCAACACAAGAACTAGGGGCCACCAAATGAAATTAATAGGCAGCAGGTTTAAAACAAACAAAGGAAGTATTTTTTTTACACAACTCACAGTCAACCTGTGGAACTTCTTGCCAGAGGATGTTGTGAAGGCCAAGATTATAACAGGATTCAAAAAAGAACTAGATAAATTCATGGAAGATAGCCACCGATGGACCTATTAGCCAGGATGGGCAGGGATGGTGTTCCTAGCCTCTGTTTGCCAGAAGCTGGGAATGGATCACTTGATTACCTATTCTGTTCATTCCCTCTGGGGCACCAGGCATTAGCCACTGTTGGAAGACAGGATACTGGACTAGATGGACCTTTGGTCTGACCCAGTATGGCCGTGCTTATGTTCTCTCACGGTACCTTCTATTTCAGTCTGTTTTATATGTTTAGAATCCACAGCATGTTTGTTTTGTTAACTTTGAAACTCCAGAAATGAAATTGTTTCCTAATTAGTGCTAATTACTACAAATTTGGTCTTTATGTGGAACTATTCAGATTCTTACCAAAATTTTACACTTGTAATTTAATTTTCATAGTTGTGACAGTTTCACAGAGATAAATACTTTCCTAATATAATGAAACTATCTTGTGCATCATCCCATTATGAATGTGCAGAAGGTCTAGAGATTAAAATTCAAAAGGGAAAAATCCACTGGGGTTCAGTAAAATGTCTACCTTCCACACTAAAGATGCCTGCAGTAGGTTGTAGAACACTTTAAATGATAGTGTAGAATTTAGATTCCCTAAGTAATCTGAATGGAAAGAACGTCTAAGAAAATTATCAATTCCCATTATCAATTGTTGTAGTCAGACCACAAAGATCTTTTGAACATGGGCTTAAAAATCACTCTTTAGGAGTGCTGGCTTCTTGCTTCTCAAAGGGGGTATTTACTATCTCAACCAGTAATGGACCCAATGCCTCCTCACTACAATTTACCAACTAGGAATTACATGAGTCTAACTAGTAGGGTATTGCCTGAAGCGCCACAAAACACTCAAAAATCTCAGTAAAATAAGAAGGCCAAAAACCCCTGTTCTGTCCATCCCTACTTTTAGAATGGATCCACTATGATGGTGATTTCTAACCCATTCTGATTCAGAGCACTCAGATCTGTTTTTATGGTCTATGAAGTAGACTGAAAAGTCCTCAAAGCAGAAAACATTTTACTCTATACATGTGGAGATGGCTTGATGAATCAAAACTGTCAGCCATACAGGTCTGCTGATCAGAATTTTGTGGATACCATTATGAAGGATAAAACTTTTCAAAGTGCATTCAACAGCATGAGTTGAATAATAGGGTCACTGTCGGCTGAGATGCTGCACACTTGAGAACCACTTCCAGACTCAGTGAGACTAAGTCATCTACACAAAGGGCCCAATCACACAAGTACAAAATGCCACTAGAACAAGAAATTAATTGCTATTGATAATTCATACTTCAACATTTCTTCATTGCCATTTCCTTAAAGATCAGAATATTAAAAATATGAATTTTTAAAGCAAACGTACTTGTCTCCTGTTATTGTAATTGTGAATCCGTCATATTCCTTCCCTTGATCTTTGAGGCTAGGGACTTTTGTGTTTACAGTAAACCCATCTCTTGTTTTACTGTTAAACTGCTTTCAGAAAAAAGGAAATATATTAGAATAAATATAGTAGGATAAGCTTTCTAGCCACTGTTCTGTAACACTGATTTCTAGAGGACAGTTTTAACAAGAGATAGCTAGTGCAGCTATGGTCTTCTAAATAAAAAATTTAAATAAAAAAGACTAAGCTAGAACTATACAGACAAATGTTTTTCCCAAGCCCCAGTATGATACTCATCATTTGGCATATTAATGTGAAAACAGTAATATAAGTTGTAGAGTCTGTATTTTACATTTATACTTTGTAATTAAATGAATTACTCTAAATTGCATTCCAGAACATAGCTCACAATTTTTTACTGTTAGCCAATCTCATTCAACATCCTTTGCATAGTTTTCTCCTCACCAGAAGGAAAAACAAAACAAAACGCTTTTTCAAATTTTGCAAAGCCAAAAAACAGTGATTTAAATTTAAAATTGAAGCCAAAAGCCATAACTAATGTGACAATTATAAACCACAATAACTTTATTCAAATAAAGCTAAGAGTCAAGTTCTATTCAAAGTTACCCACCTATTTGAACAACCAGACCACTTAAATACTAACTGGCTCTCTCAATTTATCCATGCAACATTAAAGACAATTGCTCCATTTCCATTGTTGAGTGAATGGCTTTTGCAACCATGTCTTTTAAAATACAATAGTATGATCAATGGAATTATGTTTTGGCCAAGGATTTCATTATTTAAAAAAATTAAAAGCTTTTATTGAGAAATAGCATTCCAATGTGATATGTACAATTGAGAAGGGTACACATGCAATCCAAATCAGATCAAAATCATTGTTTTTTGAAGACCAGGAATATTTGCTGCCAATTCTTAGGAAGAGATCTTTATTTCTAGCTAAATCATTCACAGTTCCTTAAATAGTTATATATTTTTGTCATCTCTGTACTAATCTGTGTTTTCAAATCAGCTGATAACATTTCCCTTTGTCAAGTACCTCCGCAAAAAGTGGCATCCATTTTGCTTCAGAGGGCCTTACATTATGATTTCCAATATCATAATGTGTTGTACAGGACAATCAAATATCTTTCAATTTTTCCTTCCCAGCCTTTTGTTTAGTTTTACTGGAATTCACTCCAAAAAAAGGTGAGCACCGGGTTGGAGACTGAGAGCTGACAGGGCTGTAAAGGTATGGTCTTAAACTGCCCTAACCCTCAGACAATCCTTAATATATGCTTTAAGAAAGTAACTTGGAGGTGACATTTGCGCCACTTATCAGAGAACCACACAGAAAACCTAGGTAGCAGTGTTTAAGCTTCTGTGAAGACATCTATACCTGATCAGTTTGAATTACCCTGCTTTGATTGGTGTGAATGTTCCTTTCCGAACTATTCAAGTCTGAATATTTTATTTATATTCTGTTCATTTTAGAGATATTTTTTTTAAATCAAGCCCTTCTTGCCATATTCCCAAAGATTTAAATACTCAACTAACATTAGATTTATTTGAAAAATCTTAGAACTAAACCCTGAGCTGGAAGGACCTAATGGTTAGTAGGGATGAAAGAGTAACTCAGTCTCCATGCCACATAATCCAAAGCCTTTTTATGGAGGCTACCAACAGGGTGCTAATAATTGGAAGGGGGGAGCTGGGTTTGGTGATTCTGGCACTTTTCCACTAGATCAGAGTAGATCACCAGTTCATTCCACGTTGGTCATCAGCCATTAACAGGCAACTACTTTTGCTCATTGCTGCTCTGGGCCACATTCAAATCAGTGGCCCTGAACTGAAAAAAAATGTTCCATACTCCATAAACTCCAATTCCATAAACTCTTTTCTTCAGTTTGTTCAATTATGTTTTACACAGTTAAGCTGAACCAGTCATTCAGGTTGTAAATAAAAATCCTCATCACTAGGAAGCCTGGCTTCAAGGAACCAGTACACACAGAATTTTTTCCTCCCTTTTACAGGCATATTTTTCTTTTACTAATTAAAAATAATTATTGGATTAAGTCTTCTCAGGCACACATCACACGCATCTAAGGGAAGGATCAAGCCTTAGATGAGCAGATTTGCAGTTATTTTGATTAGTATGTTAATTCTTTAGAATACAGCCAAAGTTCCTACAGTTGTTCATTTTAAATTAGACATACAACTGTCCATTTAAATTGTTACCCACGAGCTGAAGGTTGTTGCAAAACTTACCTTCATTATGGGGAGAAGGTCTTCTACTTTATGTACATTTTCCAGTGCTTCTCTAACTTCTAGCAAACCTTTAGGATTATTAGCACTATAATAAAACATATGCAACAATTTTAACATACCGAAACACAACCGTCAAACAAATCTAGCATTTTTCAGAACATCCATCTAGTGTTACTGTAACCAACCATTTATGATGGTCAATGGAGTGAACTACTACATTATATTCTATTGCATTTCCCTTGGCAAATTTCCCCGCTCTTCCCATTTGGTCAGGGGGTGAAAATTAAACAATACAATAAGACATTTTTTACCTAATGATTTTCTTTCTATGACTGAATTAGGGTTGCCAACCCTCCCAGTTTTGCCAGGAGTCTCCCGGAATCGGGCTCTATCTCCCGGAGGCTACTGAAGCCAATCCGGGAGATTTTAGCTTGCTTAAAGTCTAGCGGCGAGCAGGGCTAAGGCAGGCTCCCTGCCTGCTTGCCCTGGCCCTGTGTCGCTCCGGGAAGCAACCAGCAAGTCCCTGTGGCCCAGGGGAGTGTGTGTGAGGGGGTAGGGAGTCTCCACGCTGCCCCTGCCTGCAAGCACCTCCCCCACAGTTCCCATTGGCCAGGAACTGCAGCCAATGGAAGCTGCAGGGGCGGTGCTTGCAGGCAGGGCAGTGCACAGAGCCTCCTATCCCCCTCGTGCTGGCTGCTTCCACAAGCGGCACAGGGCGGGGCCAGGGCAGGCAGGGAGCCTGCTTTAGCCCTGCTGTGCTGCCACCCAGAAGCCACCTGAGGTAAGCGCTGCCCAGCCAGAGCCCTCACCCCTCAGCCCCTTCTACACCCCAACCCCAGCCCGGAGCCCCTCCTACACCCAAACTCCCTCCCAGAGCCCACACCCCAAACCCTGAGCCCCATCCCGGAGCCAGTACCCCAAACCCCCTATCACACCCCAATCTCCTGCCCCAGCCTGGAGCACCCTCCTGCACCCAAACTCCCACCCACACCCAAAATCCCCTGCCCTAGCCCTGAGCCCCTCCTGCACCCAAATTCCCTCCCAGAGCTTGTATCCCACACCACCTTCTGTACCCCAACCCCCTGCTCCAGACTCAGCCCAGAGCCCCCTCCCACACTCCGCACCCCTCGGCCCCAGCCCAGAGCCCACACCCCCTCCCACAACCCAACCTCCTGCCCCAGCCTGGTGAAAGTGAGTGAGGGTGTGGGAGAGTGAGCAACCAAGGGAAGGCTGATGGAGTGAGTGGGGCAGGGCCTGAGGGAAGGGGCCGTGCCAGGCCAGGGTATTTGGGTTTGTGTGATTAGACAGTTGGCAACCCTAAACTGAATTCACCACAGATTAGACATTCAGATTGCACCTCTTCTGTAAACATTCAGACTGGCCTTCAGACTTCACCACACCCCTTCTTACCATTTCCCCAGATTCATACTTTCAAAGCTGCGAGGAAATGCTAAATTCTGATTAGGAAATTAAACACATACATGATGATAAAGACTTATTCAACAATATTAACCATTTACCTGGATCCACAAAAGACCCACAGACACCCAAAAAAGCTGGTTAGGTAGGGCAAACTGGAAACAGAGGTCACTCACAGAAAGGAAATCAAGTAATAAGATGGCAAATCTTCCATTCTGGAGCCTGATCTCTCACGCACTCAGACATTTGGGACAAACAAGCTGAAAAGAAGAGAACTACACCTCCAGGTTGCATACTAGGTGTCATGATCAAGCTTCAAAACATAGCGAATGCCTATATCATGACAGATCCAACAGTCCAGCCCCTTAATTTTGACCTTTCACATCATCTCTGAGTAAAGCCTAATTGCTTCTGATGCAGAGTGACCAGATGTGCTATTAATGATCATCAGTGGGGCCTTTTTGATTCCGCATTTTGCCACTGTGGCCAGTTTGACAATGTTGGTCATATACTTACAGGCTGCACGCATTGGCAAAGACTTTATGGTTCCCTCATGGACTTAAAGGCCCTTCCTTCAGCTACTGAAAGGTTAAGACACAGACTACACATGCTTGACTTGATCGTCTATGTAGATGCAATCACAATACACACACACACAGTATCCCATGTACTCTCAGTATCTAAGCTGTGAGGCTCAAGTACCCTTGACTGGGATAGAGGGGTACACCCTTTTGCGAGTGGAGGAGAAGCCACCTTTTGAAGGAACTTGGAAGATTCTTCAGCAGCTCATAAAGCCTTGCTTACAGGTGCATGCTTCACTAAAGTCACAATATTTCAGGGTATGTCTACACTACGGAATAAGGTCGAATTTATAGAAGTCGGTTTTTTAGAAATCGGTTTTATATATTCGAGTGTGTGTGTCCCCACAGAAAATGCTCTAAGTGCATTAAGTGCATTAACTCGGCGGAGCGCTTCCACAGTACCGAGGCTAGAGTCGACTTTCGGAGCGTTGCACTGTGGGTAGCTATCCCACAATTCCCGCAGTCTCCGCTGCCCATTGGAATTCTGGGTTGAGATCCCAATGCCTGATGGGGCTAAAACATTGTCGCGGGTGGTTCTGGGTACATATCGTCAGGCCCCCATTCCCTCCCTCCCTCCGTGAAAGCAAGGGCAGACAATCATTTCGCGCCTTTTTTCCTGAGTTACCTGTGCAGACGCCATACCACTGCAAGCATGGAGCCCGCTCAGGTAACCGTCACCCTAGGTCTCCTGGGTGCTGGCAGACGCGGTACGGCATTGCTACACAGTAGCAGCAACCCCTTGCCTTGTGGCAGCAGACGGTACAGTACGACTGGTAGCTGTCATCGTCATGTCCGAGGTGCTCCTGGCCACGTCGGCTGGGAGCGCCTGGGCAGACATGGGTGCAGGGACTAAATTTGGAGTGACTTGACCAGGTCATTCTCTTTAGTCCTGCCTGCAGTCAGTCCTATTGAACCATCTTATGGTGAGCAGGCAGGCGATACAGACTGCTAGCAGTCGTACTGTACCATCTTCTGCCGAGCAGCCATGAGATGTGGATGGCATGCAGTCCTTCTGCACCGTCTGCTGCCAGCCAAAGATGTAAAAGATAGATGGAGTGGATCAAAACAAGAAATAGACCAGATTTGTTTTGTACTCATTTGCTTCCCCCCCTCCCCTGTCTAGGGGACTCATTCTTCTAGATCACACTGCAGTCACTCACAGAGAAGGTGCAGCGAGGTAAATCTAGCCATGTATCTGTCAGAGGCCAGGCTAACCTTCTTGTTCCAATAAGGACAATAACTTAGGTGCACCATTTCTTATTGGAACCCTCCGTGAAGTCCTGCCTGAAATACTCCTAGATGTAAAGCCACCCCCTTTGTTGATTTTAGCTTCCTGAAGCCAACCCTGTAAGCGCCCCTCCCGGTGTCAGAGCAACGGCAAACAATCGGGCATCTGAGAGTGCTGTCCAGAGCAGTCACAATGGAGCACTCTGATGGGGCTAAAACATTGTCGCGGGTGGTTCTGGGTACGTATCGTCAGGCCCCCGTTCCCTCCCTCCCTCCGTGAAAGCAAGGGCAGACAATCATTTCGCGCCTTTTTTCCTGAGTTACCTGTGCAGACGCCATACCACGGCAAGCATGGAGCCCGCTCAAGTAACCGTCACCCTATGTCTCCTGGGTGCTGGCAGACGCGGTACGGCTTTGCTGCACAGTAGCAGCAACCCATTGCCTTCTGGCAGCAGACGGTGCAATACGATTGGTAGTCGTCCTCGTCGTGTCCGAGGTGCTCCTGGCCACGTCGGCTGGGAGCGCCTGGGCAGACATGGGTGCAGGGACTAAATTTGGAGTGGCTTGACCAGGTCATTCTCTTTAGTCCTGCAGTCAGTCCTATTGAACCATCTTATGGTGAGCGGGCAGGCGATACGGACTGCTAGCAGTCGTACTGTACCATCTTCTGCCAGGCAGGCAAGAGATGAGGATTGCTAGCAGTCGTATTGTACCATCTTCTGCTAGGCAGGCAAGAGATGGGGATGGCTAGCAGTCATACTGTACCATCCTCTAGGTACTCATTCCTCTAGGTCACACTGCAGTCACTCACAGAGAAGGTGCAGCGAGGTAAATCTAGGCATGTATCAGTCAGAGGCCAGGCTAACCTCCTTGTTCCAATAAGAATGATAACTTAGGTGCACCATTTCTTATTGGAACCCTCCGTGAAGTCCTGCCAGGCAGGCAAGAGATGAGGATTGCTAGCAGTCGTATTGTACCATCTTCTGCCAGGCAGGCAAGAGATGGGGATGGCTAGCAGTCGTATTGTACCATCTTCTGCCAGGCAGGCAAGAGACATTGGTGAGGCCTCATCTGGAGTACTGTGTCCAATTTTGGGCCCCACACTTCAAGAAGGATGTGGATAAATTGGAGAGAGTCCAGCGAAGGGCAACAAAAATGATTAGGGGTCTGGAACACATGAGTTATGAGGAGAGGCTGAGGGAGCTGGGATTGTTTAGCCTGCAGAAGAGAAGAATGAGGGGGATTTGATAGCTGCTTTCAACTACCTGAAAGGGGGTTCCAAAGAGGATGGCTCTAGACTGTTCTCAATGGTAGCAGATGACAGAACGAGGAGTAATGGTCTCAAGTTGCAGTGGGGGAGGTTTAGATTGGATATTAGGAAAAACTTTTTCACTAAGAGGGTGGTGAAACACTGGAATGCGTTACCTAGGGAGGTGGTAGAATCTCCTTCCTTAGAGGTTTTTAAGGTCAGGCTTGACAAAGCCCTGGCTGGGATGATTTAACTGGGAATTGGTCCTGCTTCAAGCAGGGGGTTGGACTAGATGACCTTCTGGGGTCCCTTCCAACCCTTATATTCTATGATTCTATATGGGGATGGCTAGCAGTCGTACTGTACCATCCTCTAGGTACTCATTCCTCTAGGTCACACTGCAGTCACTCACAGAGAAGGTGCAACGAGGTAAATCTAGGCATGTATCAGTCAGAGGCCAGGCTAACCTCCTTGTTCCAATAAGAACGATAACTTAGGTGCACCATTTCTTATTGGAACCCTCCGTGAAGTCCTGCCTGAAATACTCCTTGATGTACAGGCACCCCCTTTGTTGATTTTAGCTCCCTGAAGCCAACCCTGTAAGCCGTG